CGGTCACTGCAGCTTGCCAATGGCTACAGAACAAGATATATACACATTTCATAATGTAACAGACTCTGAAAGCATGCTGAGAAAGATGAAGTCAGGGATGCTTCGAGCAGAGTGGCAAGCTTCACTTGCAAGGTCACATGTAATGAGCATGGTTTGGATCTTTTCTCCAGGCTATGCTGATATAGTGGGGAATGAACAGACACACAGACTGGCTGGAAATGCACCGCTAGGTGGTAGACTGATACATGACTAGGCAGATGAGGTCAGAGCACTTAGTCGACAAGTAACGAAGTCAGAAGAGAGACTATATTATTACTGGCTGGAGAGAATGATGCACCTAGGTGTGACCAGAGGGTTCGGCAGGTACACTACGCTCAGAGGAAAGGCAAGACAGACATACAATCAAACTACGACTGATACCATTTAAATTGGAACTCTGCCTTGGCTGCTGAGGATGGGGACGAAAGGCGTATTGGAATCGCCGGAGGGCTGTGATGTCAATTCTTGACTCAGCTCAACTCATTTGATTTGATTTGACTCAAGAACCGACATCACAGCACTCGGGGCATTCCCATAAGCGCTCCGTCCCCATCTTCAGCAGCCAGTGATGAGGTCCTATACTAATGGTGCCAGTAGCTTTCTGATTAAACGTCCGTCTTGCCTTTCCTCTGAGCCTCGAGCATCTGCCAGAACCTCTCGTCACCCCCAACTGCATTAATCTCACCAGACTGTGGTGATCCATCTGCTCCTCCGCATTGTACACGCTCTCCCACAATGCACTAACCACGTCTGCCCTATCATGTAGCAGTATTCCACCAAATTGTGCAGAGCCAGTCAGTCTGTCCGCCGGTTCATTTCCCAACACACCGGCGTGACCCGGTAAAAAAAATCCAGACAATACTCCTCACTCGTGCCCCCCGCAGCGAAGCATGCCACTCTGCACGAAGCATGCCTGTTCTGATCTTCCTCAGCATGCTTTCTGAATCAGTTACAATTACAATGTGTGTGTGTGTCGTGTTCTCTAGCCAGTGGAAAGCTGCAGTGACCGCCTCCACATCCATTCTTAAGCTGGATGTTGTGGTATCATATGCTAGGCACTCCTGCACCAAACGTCGACCATTAAATTTTGCCTAAAATCCCCAAGCACTTCTTTTGCCTCTAGACACTGAACCGTCTGTGTAAATGATCAAATCCTCTGAGCGAGCATTATCTTGAATTAATTGCTGAATTTCCACCTCTGTGGCACCTGCTGGCCAGTCTCGGCATTCCCGGCTCAACGTGATTATGACTACACAAGTCTGACTGCTCAGGTGGCACATTGACCCACTCCTCTCCCCGCCTAATGTTCTCAAGGATGCAAACCTGTCTGATTGTGTCTTCTGCCTGAGCCATCCATGACCTCCCTCTTATCAGCCGCTGACCCTTAACTGCACCCAGAGCTTCATGCAGAGGGTGGTGGTCTGTGTCTGCAGCTACCCTGAGATATGACTTCGCCTGCATCACCTTGTGCCTACCTGCAACCGTCGGCAAACCAAGGATGTATCAACTTAATGAACATAGTGAACACACACACCGGCCCCTTTGAGTTGCACAAAAACGGGACTTTCCATTTATAAAGATAGTTACTCTGCACCCAGAAGAGCACTGATTTCTCATCTCCCGGAGAACGGCGTCACTTAGCGCTGGTCCCTTAGTCCGCGGACACTGATTTGGGCCGGTCCACGGTCTTTCTTTTCTTGCAGTTTCCTTCCTCCCTTCTAACTTCAATAGCTTGTTTCCTTGACGCTGCAACCAGTTCAGACATCCTAAATCCACACACATCGAACAGCATGGGTGACTACGGTGAGTCGGAGCCTGAAGCTTCTGTTGATATCCCTGGAGTTGAACAGTTGGATGAAAATGCGTATGTCCGTTTTATTCAAGACAATAATGCCTCCGTGATCCTGTTTTATAAAGACGCTGACGATAAGTTTGAACAAGCCAAGCAATCATTAACAGAGGTCAGATATTATACTTGTTGTCAAAATGTGTCGCTGGTCGAGTGTCATTTATTAGAATCCGGTATTTGTTTTTATTGATATTATTATCGATCAGTCAGTCAGAGTAAATTAGTTCGTCGCTAGTCAGTCAGTCAGTCAGTCAGTCATAACAGGTTATTTAATTAGATAAATGATTGGTTACTTAGTTGGTGTTTTTTAATAATTTTTATTCTTTTTATTTTTATATTTTTATTTTTTTTTTCAAATTTTCAGATTAGCATAGTTATTTGGTAAATTGGTTTTCAGTTGGTGAGTCAGTTATTGTTGCAAACTTTACGGCAAGATTGGCATCCCATTATTGCTCTGTTACTGTGATAGCGAAAACCACACATCAGCGTCCCTATGGAAACATTAAGGTAGCACTAACAACATGCACACGCATCCTCTGCGTAAGGCATTTCACGACAACAAATGAAGTTCTTCATAGATGGAAACAGGAGTCACAAAACAATCAATAGTTATTACCAGTGCGAAAAATAATGAGGATAAAGCTTCAACATAAGTTGCATCAGGAACTAATTGGCGTTGATTGCGGCGCAAACCCATATCGTGCACACTTTCCAAACCACTGCTGATTGTCTTTCCCCCCCCCCCCCCCCCACCCTGCAAACACACACTCCCCTACACCACTCACAAACGCACACCCCCACCCACCCACACACTCTTACACACACACACACACACACACACACACACACTTACACTCCATAACCACCTGTGTCAGTAAGATGCATGTGACAATATGTTTTACATTTGTGTATACAAATTACCTGTTTGGAATTGTCTGGCCTGTCATCTTCTACTCTTTCCTTGTTCACATCTGTGCAAATAAAATACAAGACTCGTCGTGTACACGCCTTCCTGCGTCTTGGCATGTAGGGCATGTTCTATAGTCCAAACGTCACCGGGTGGTGGATGTAAGTGCCAGGCATGTAGGGCTAGACAGATGATCTATAGTCCAAACGTCACGGGTTGGTGGATGTAGGTGCCAGGCATGTAAAGCTAGGCACATGTTCTATAGTCCAAACGTCACGGGGTGGTGGATGTAGGTGCCAGGCATGTAGGGCTAGGCTATAGTCCAAACGTCACCGGGTGGTGGATGGAGGTGCCAGGTATGTAGGGCTAGGCTATAGTCCAAACGTCACGGGGTGGTGGATGTAGGTGCCAGGCATGTAGGGCTAGGCTATAGTCCAAACGTCACCGGGTGGTGGATGTAGGTGCCAGGTATGTAGGGCTAGGCTATAGTCCAAACGTCACGGGGTGGTGGATGTAGGTGCCAGGCATGTAGGGCTAGGCTATAGTGCAAACGTCACAGGGTGGTGGATGTAGGTGCCAGGTATGTAGGACTAGACACATGTTCTATAGTCCAAACGTCACCGGGTGGTGGATGGAGGTGCCAGGTATGTAGGACTAGACACATGTTCTATAGTCCAAACGTCACAGGGTGGTGGATGTAGGTGCCAGGCATTTAGGGCTAGGCACATGTTCTATAGTCCAAACGTCACCGGGTGGTGGATGTAGGTGCCAGGCATGTAGGGCTAGGCACATGTTCTATAGTCCAAACGTCACGGGGTGGTGGATGTAGGTGCCAGGCATGTAGGGCTAGGCTATAGTCCAAACGTCACGGAGTGGTGGATGTAGGTGCCAGGTATGTAGGACTAGACACATGTTCTATAGTCCAAACGTCACCGGTGCCAATTAAAGGTTAGGTCGACCTGGCAGCCAAGGTCATTTGTGAAAAAAAAATTGAATTTTGTTCGGATTTGAACCCACGGCTTTCGAATGCGCAGGCAAACATGCAGCCGCTACACCACAGAGGCTGCTGCAAATGCCTACAACTTTAGGAAAAGCGGTAGCCTTAGGTGAAGGATAAATAGTTCTGCAGCTTCTGGGTATCGTAACGGTGTGTGTTTTATTTCCACAGGCAGCTCAGAAAAACAACAAACGGAACCAGGCTTACGGCGCATTGAACTGTAAAGAAAACATATGTTTTTGTTACGACAAGAAAGTCTTTGACGAGGCACCACTGTTCCATCTCTACTCTCACGGCAAAATGGTGCACAGTTTCGAATATGACGTAGACACTAATCACATGAAAAATGCCCTTGAAAAAGCTGCACAAGGAACGAAACGGAAAGGTTTCTTCAAGTCCATGTGTTCATGCGTTTCAAGCCAGGGAGAGGATTGAGGTCACAAGCTTACATTTGTCCAATTCCTCTGACTGCAACCATGAAATCAACTGTGCTAGATTGAAATTCTAACTGAAATAGAATGGAATACTGGCCTACGAATGGGGTCTAGCGCTTTAGCTATAACCTGGGCGCCACTCAGAAATTCAAAACTCGGTATCCAGTCTTACATCCAGTAATACATCCATTGAATGGCTCCACATTCGAACTTCATCCCCACAGCCATCCAATGGTTGAACACATAATCTGCTGTTAGAGAGTCATCCAATGGTTGAACACATAATCTGCTTTTTGAGAGTCATCCAATGGCTGAACACATAAACTGCTGTTCGAGAGTCATCCAATGGTTAAACACATAATCTGCTGTTAGAGAGGCATCCAATGGTTGAACACATAAACTGCTGTTCGAGAGTCATCCAATGGTTGAACACATAATCTGCTGTTAGGGAGACATCCAATGGTTGAAAACTTAATCTGCTGTTAGAGAGGCATCCAATGTTTGAACACATAATCTCTTGTTAGAGAGAGATCCAATGGTTGAACACATTATCTCCTGTTAGGGAGACATCCAATGGTTGAACACATAATCTACTGTTAGAGAGACATCAATGGCTGACAATATGATCTCCCAACACAATTCTATTGGTTGGTTAAAAACACCACCTGCTGTCAGACAGCTATCCGCTGGTTTCTCACACGACCTGTGACATAATAGCCAGCCAATGACTAAACACACGACTTCCTTCTTAAAAACCATTCAATGGTTAAACAC